GGTTTGCCTGTTAAATTTCAGCTGCATGAAGTAAGAGAGAGAAGAGTTATCTTTTATTAAAATACACTTTATTTAAATGGGGCATAGTAATATGGTAATGGAAGGTTAATAGTGAAAGCAAAGGCAAAAGCTAATTGAGAAATGGAGACATTTGGAGCTGGAGGGTTAGTTTCTCCTATTTTGGTATATGAAACAATTCACTTTATTAGACAAGATTCTTGAGTTTATTTTCTTATTGTTAGGTGCAGCTGATTCAGGGAGAAGCTGCTTATCACTATCCATGATCCACTCATTAGAGATCTACTAGACTCTCAGTGTAGAAGGTGCTTTGAATCAGTTGCCATCTTTTCTTTGCCATAGTGAGACTCTGGGTACATTTCTGAGTTAGCAACTGGCAACTTCAAAGCAATAGGACAAATCTAGTCCTCCTGAGATATGTCTGCACTGCACAACACAATTTGGGGTGATAGAAAGCTTGGTTCTCATTCTGGCATAACTCTGAAGCAGGCAGATGGGGGTAGGGGAGTTGGAAATGAGTTATTGAGGAAGTAATAAAACCAAAATGGGATTTGAAGGAGTTACTCAGTCACTAGCCCTCAAGTTGCCATTATGGCCAGAACTACATTGTAGACACAGAAACTTAGGCTGATAAGACTCTATCTGGTGCCAGCGCAGGTCAAGAAGTCTGGACTGCTGTGGAAAAAAGTTCTGGCAAGAACAAAGGATTGTGATAAGGGTGGACCACCAAGTTCAAGCTCTTCCCCTAGACAATGCCATAGAAAAGGACTTTGTTCTACATAGGAAATGCCACATGGGGGCAATTTGGGAGAAAATCTATAAACCAACTCTGAAAAAGCAAACAGGGTTCAACCCCATTCTGGGACTTCCTGGCCACATCTCCATCTGAGATGTGACTCTGAGCTCCCTCCTCTGGAGATTGCCTTGTTCTTCTCCCTTTCCTTCCTCAAGAACTCTAAACAAATGTGTTACTTCTCTATTCATGTCTTCCTGAAATTCTTGTCTGTGAGGGAAGGCAATGGGTTCTGTAAACAGATTCAGGGCTGATGTTCTTTTCCAAAGAGCAATTCCCTATGCCTGCCTGAGTTCCAGGGATCCTCAGGAAAGCAGGTGTCTGGGATCATCTCCCACACTGGGCACAGCAAGTGGAACACTTGTGTGGGGATGCTGAGATGTGAGGTCTGTGCCATTCAGGAGATCACTGCAAACTCTCATCAGTCCTAGATTTCCCAGACACTTCCTTGGGTGCTGAGGTGGGTAGTGAGGGAAACAGTAGATATCCTCCAGGCTGCTGTCTATCTCCTCCCCACTTCACATAAACCACCTATAATACCTCTATGTGATTTTTAGGGAATTGTATATGATTTTTTTTCATTTATAAAATGGTGAGTGAGGTAGAGATGGGGAGGGGGACACAGGTAAGAAAGGGGTCTTTTGTATGTTAAACAATTCTTTTCCATAGAAACAACTGAGAATTCAACTTGAGTCCAGATCTAAACAAGGAAAAGTCATAAAGTGGTCATCAGAGAGAGAAGTTGTATCTCCACAAAGACTAGAAGGAAGTTTGCTGAGGGTTTGTAAATGTAAATCTAACATAATGCTACTAAATATATATTTTTAAATAAAGATTTCTCTCTCTCTTTCTCTCTCTGATTTTAAAATTTGATGAGAATTTCTAAATGTAAATGTCCTGCAAAGCAGTCACATATATATTTGTGGGGGCCACTGAAGATGAGGGAAGTTACTCATGTGGGCTCAACTTGGCTATCTCTGAAAAGGACCAGGGGCAAAGTGATAGTAGAGTGGGTAGGACATTATCCTTGTACCTGGCCAACCTAGGTACAATTCCCAGAATCCCATATGGTCACCTGAGCACCACCAGGAATGATTTCTGAGTAAATAGCCGGAAGTAACCCCTGCACATCACCAGGTATGAAATCCCCAGAATCCCATATGGTCACCTGAGCACCACCAGAAGTGATTTCTGAGTAAACAGCTGGAAGTAACCCCTGAGCATCACTAGGTATGACCCAAAAAATAACAACTCTCCCCCCCAAAAAACCAAAAAGGACCAAGCATGCCATGAACACAGCTGACAAAGAGCTTCTACAGTCCACTTGAAACTACATGCTTCTAAGAAAACTATTTTTTATTCAATATATAAAAGGGTTGCTAACATGGTTATTAACATATACAATAATTTGTACAATCAGTGATCAATACAATTTTTATGTGTCAAATCAATTGGACAAAAAATGTTTTTCGTGAAGAGGTGCTTCTAAAAAACCAGATTTCAATTTCAAGAAAAATAAGCAACACCAAAGTATAGATTTTTCTTATAATCATCAAAATATCAAATCTAAAAGGGGATATTATTTTCATTACATACACTTAACTTGAGTAAAATAAAATTGAACTCCACAAGCATCATTAAATCACATTATTTTATTGCACATAAAAATATATAGAAAATTTTAAAGTTGTAAAAGTTCTACAATGAACTGTACTTTGAAACATTTGAAAAATAGAAAATTTCATAATCATGTTTTACTCAAAATATTTGAGGACATTTCATATGTATTCAGTAAGTTATTGTCCACAGAGATGTTTTGGAATGTGAATATTGCACTGTCTCAGGAACCTTTAAGAACTGCCTGATATTAAAATTCACTGAGATGGAGAGACCATCACTACCTCAGATCACTAAGAAGGTTTCCTTAGGAATTCAATAGAGTTCTCAATAAAGAAATACTTTAAATAATTTCTACAATTTTCAGAGACCACATTTCCAAAGAATGCTTTTCCTACAAAGTTGTGTTCATAGCTTGTATATCTGATATACAATTAAAACAATCAACCAAGTAAACATGCATTAGGCCTGACATATTAAATCTACGTATCTTTCAAGGACTATCAATTATCTATGCTTATCATGTGTTGAATTGCACTCAGCACTAAATTATGCCACAGAGATTATCATGACATGTTAGGACATGGTTTTCATCTCAGGTCATCACAGAGAGTATCAGTGATGGTTGACTAGAATTGGAGTAATGCAAGAATTAATGGAATTTTAGATAACAGAATTTACTCTTAAAACCCTGGATAGATATATAAAGGTTTCAAACAAATACAATGAAAACATTTACTGTTACAGCCAAAACACCCAAAAACACTCGACCTGAAGGACATTTTAAAATGGCACAACTTTCTTGGTTTAGGTTTTCATTTTGAAGAAAAAAAAAAGTTTAGGGAAGAAATAAACTAGCTAACATCTTAATTTTCATTAAATCAATGAGTGATGAGAACTCTATGTATTAATGTTATAAGCTGCCCAAAATATTATTCATTTTGATGTGCAACGAGACAGGAAAATTTTATAAAGGTTTAATATACATGAAAGTGTTTCCTATAGTAGATCCTTTTAATTTTAACATTTTATTTTCTAGAATGTTAAATCCCCTTCCTATTCTCCCCAAACTTTTATCAATAAAATGTAAAAACAACAACAGTAAAAAATGGCTAGGGCAAAATTTAAATTAATATAAAAAGACATTTACTACTTACTGTGCTAGAATGTAGATATATCTGTTCTATAAGTAGGTATATAATATAAAAATAAATACATGTATGCCAACATTAAAAACTCACATATATTTAAATGTTAGTAACTGAATTTCCTAAACAAGGATGGAAATGCCAGATTTCAAGAACATTTTTGAAAGCTCATTTGGATTTTCTACAAAGATGAAAAATCTTTTCACAAAGATTTTGTAAAAAAAATATTTTTCACAAAGATGAAAAATCTAATTGTTTCCAAATGGTCCATGTTAAACTCACCCTCCAACATTTGAGAAAACTTGAACAACGTAACCCTAAAATAATATAGCAATCACATAACAAAAATGTCTATATCAGCAAGAAAAATTACTTTCGGGATTACAGTATGAGAAAAGAAAACAATGAATTTAAGTAACTCTAAGGTTGAATTCATTTGGACTTCTGAAACTCAATTTTGTCTTATATTATCCAGGTCTGGATTAAAGTAACCCTAAATAAAACACAATCATTTGTGTTTCTATTAAGATTTTTAAGTTTCATTTAAAATGTTTCAAGTAGAAAATATTTTAAAGTAGAAAATATTTTTCTCTGCTACTATTCTTCCTTTTTATTTGGAAATAGTGAAGTTGTCGTAAGTGACAATATATAAAACCTTCCTAGATATGTGTCTTGTGCATGCTAGTCCATTGAGATGCATATTTGCAAAGTGGGTTTAATTTTTTTTAAAAAAATATTTAATTTAGGGGTCACAAAGATAGTACAGAAGGGAGAACACTTGCTTTACATGCAGTCAACCTTGGTATATTCCCTAGTACTACCTATGGTCTCCGAGAATCACCAGGCATGATCCCTGAGGACAGAGCCAAGAGTCAGTGCTGCATAGCCCAAATTCAAAAACAAAAATAACTTTTTCCTTTTAAAATAAATTTAGTTTAGAAATAAGGAAGAGGTGGAAACGGAAGTAAAGCACTAGTGATCTCATTTCTCAATTTTAATAATTTGAAACTATAACTCATCAGAGAATAATGATGGATATTATACTTATACCAGCACACAATTAAATCTATCTACAAATTACCAGGGGCAAAACTATCAACTAAAAAATATAGAACCACCTGTCAGAACCAAAGATACTGTGACCAGAAGAAAGAGATTAATGTGAGATTCACCAAATTCTTTGACATCTTTTATCCTTAGGAAATCAAGTTTGCAGAAGTACAAAATGTCAGAAATATGCTAGAAGAGGATCAAAATTTTGATTCTAGAATCTGTTGGAATGGACTAGAAATCAAGTTATTTTTATTTGGTTTTGCATCTGCAATAATAGCCAAAGCCTTAAAAGTGCTAACTTTTCTAACAGTCCTTCCAAAGATCACATATCCCTTCTTTCTATTGTCCCATGTTGATTAAAATCCAAGCTCTTAAAGACTTTGATCACTAGTCCTGGTAAACAATGTGACATCATCATCATATCCTGGGGAATTTTCTATGTTCTCTAGTAAGACATATTTATCTTCATTGCCATCCAGAGAGAAAACTTCCTTTTTAGTGGATGTCAGGTCACTCCAGGTTATGTCAGTGTTTTTAAAAGCATGTAAAAGAAAGATGCCATTGACGATGGTGAAGAACCCACTCAGGGTCCCAATGATATCTCCAGCTTTCATTCCGTACCATTCCTGGAATAAGATGGCAGAGCAAGTCACCACCATGGAAGTGAAGAACACGTAATAAATAGGAGTCACCAGAGATGTATTAAAGGTGTCCAGTGCTTTGTTGAGATAGTTTATCTGTGTCATCACTGAAAGCACAAGCACAGCTAGCAAAACAAAGACGAGGGGATGCTTGTAAACTGGCTTCCATTCCAACAGTTCCTTCATCGCAATTCCCAGGCCTTTGACAGAAGAAACTGAAAATGCCCCAATCAAGGAACAGATTGAAACGTACACCAATATGTTGGTCTGTCCTTTCTTGGGAGCCACAAACAAAATCAACACCAAGCAGATCACCACTATGATGACAGCAAAGGAAATAAATCCTGTTAGGAAGTAAAAAGATTTAGCCTTTAGAAAACGATAATGGGAAGATGCCTTTGTGAAATCTTGTTAGGCACAAGTTTAAGAGAATAAATGTTTTAAGAAGAAGTGAGAGTAAAACTGAAAAAACATGAAACAATCACACATTTTACTCCATGTTTCTCAAAATTGTACAATGGACAATTGTACAATTGTACAATACTCTTACAAAAATATGATTTGAATCTCACAAATAACACTGAAATGTGACAGCTGTTATTTATTGACTTTATGTTCAGAAGAAATAGTGTTCAGAGTTTGGGTTGGAGTATAAATATAGTTCCTCTTTCTTTTCATTATATAGAGGGAAAGCATGAACACAAAATATAAGTTATGTCACCTTTCAGAAGATTTATTATAACATTCAGTCAAACCTTATTGCATCTCACAACCTGTGACCAGGCTTGTTTATAATACAAAGATTATTCTAATATTATTACAAATATCATTTGATGAGCACAAAAAGTAGAGTATAATTTGAGTGTCTTTTCAAAAAATTGAATCACTGTGAGATACACAGTTATAAAATGGTTCTTGATAAAGTTTTAGTCATACAGTCCTCCAACAACCAACCTTTCACCAGTCAGTGTATATTTCCTGCCACTGATGTCCTCAGTCCCGTTTCCCTCCTGTCCCCCTTCCCACTCCCTACCTCAACCCTGCAGCCTTCCTCTATGGCAGATACTTTTCTTTTCTCTCTTTTCTTTTTAGGCATTGTGGTTGGCACTACTGTTACTGAAAGGGTATCATGGACATTACCTTACCAATTTCAGCACTCATCCAAAGTGCTCATTTTCAACTATCATTATCATAATGTCCTCTTCTCTGCCCTAACCGCATTAGGTATATTTTTAAAAGACATTTAAAGATTGGTTTATAAGAGGATAAATGTTTATGTATGTTTTAGAGATGCAGTGTTACCATACCAGATCTACCAACAAATTACCAATATTCCTCCACCACTGTCCAGAGTGTTTCTTATGGCTGAATCACAGACCTGGGTCTCTCAATTTCATTTCCATTTCATGTAAAGAAGCGACTTCCTCTTCCTGTGGGGCATGGATGACCATCACAGTTGAGCCCAATATACTTAATATGCAGCCTATTTTCCCATGAATGTTCAAGCGTTCATTTAAAAAATAGGAAGACAGTATTGCACTGTTGGCAGAAGAAAAGTTGTTTAGTTACAACTTGTTTGATTCCATAGTGGCTCACATTTCTCCGATATTCCAGTCAGTGTGACACTGAAAAAGGTGATTAGTTTTAAAACTCTGAAATAATGGTTAATCAAATCTGCTTCAATGCCTTTATAATTAAAGAATTCTACACCCCTGTAATCATCCCATCACTTTTTAAGAGGTCCCACTCATTTATTTCCAATTTTCTCCATCATGGGCTGGAGCGATAGCACAGCGGATAGGGCGTTGCCTTACACGCGGCCAACATGGCCGACCCGAGTTCGATTCCTCCGCCCCTCTCGGAGAGCCTGGCAAGCAACCGAGAGTATTCGATATGCCAGACACAGTAACAACAAAGTCTCCAATGGAGACGTTACTGGGCCCGCTCGAGCAAATCGATGATCAACGGGAGGACCTTTACTTTACTTTACTTTTACTTTCTCCATCATCTCCTACAATATCAAACAAAATGGAAATTATTTTCTGTCTCATTGGCATCATAATGTGTGCTCATGAAAGCTTTAAAAAAAGGTACATGACAAAAGATTTTTTTTTTTAATAAAAGGCTTTGTGTTTGTATTTTGGGGTCACCTGGCAGTGCTCAGGGCTTACTCCTGGATCTGCTCCTTGGGATCACCTTTAGTAGGGCTCAGGCAACCATAAGAGTTTCCAGGAATGGAACCCAGGTCTGACACATGCAAGGCAAATAAATACACTACTGGCTGTAATATTATTCCAGCCCCTAAAAGAAGAATTATTACCCAGGGCTGATATTTAGTTAATAAATACCAGTATAAGTATGTGGGTTGTTCACATATTTCCTTACCAGCTTCTACTTCCCTGATACTTTCACCTATGTAACACTCCCACTAAATTTCAGATGGTTTCAGATTAGCCTCACCTCAGATATTCAGGATATGCTATTCTGCTCCTCTACCCTTGCGGCCTAGTGTTACTTCTGCACACCTCCCTTCTCTGAAGCACTGGAGTCCCCAAGATTGTGCTCAGGGACTAGCCGCTGGCTTAGAGTCATCTTGTTAAGGTATAAGTGAAGAATACACTGAAACCATTGCTACTATTAATAATTTTCACTCACTGTGCAGACGGTGCAAGTATTCCAGATATGCCCATTCAGATAATTCTCACAACGTTCCTACACACAAGGTGAAAAAGTGGGTAGGCCTCTCCACAACCTTTCTATTAGTGGTGAATAAAAAGGTAAAAAGACGAAAACAGCAAAACTGTACCTTAGCTACACAATAAAAGAGTTTTGTGGGTTTACAGAACACATTCTTTTGGATTCATTATAAAAACCAAGTTAGAAAAATTAGATCTTCATTCTGTGAATAGATAAAAGGTTCCTATTTCTAGCACTAAAGGGAACTAAATCGAAGCATGCAACAGACATTTCAAGACTTTGAAGAGAGCTGAAACTTAACCTGAACATTATGCTTTTTTAAAAGTCCTTTGATGCCCAGGACCATTAACCACAATGACAACAGAAAAGATCAAAAAGGAGAAGGCAATCTGTTCAGATGAGGACAAATATGTACCAGGTCCTGTAGAATCATCACGAATATAAAACACAATTATTCTATATTAGCACAAGAATAGCATCACTTCTGTAACTTACAAGTAATAGTAAGATGAATGATGAACTTCCTACTTCTATTATTATTGATTGAAATCCTTCTCAAATTATTTTTGTGACTAAAAGACTGTTTCAAGGTACGTGTAGCAATACACTTCTGGTTTCAATTTATCATGGCATTAAGATCCCTATGAAAGATAATTTAGTGCTTTATTTTTGTCTTACTTACCTTACAAGAACACTCAGAGCACCCAGTGGGGTGACCAATGTGGCTGGTGCAAAAGTATAAGCAGCAAAATTCACAGCTTCTCCTGCTCCCACTGAAAAGCGAGCAACAGTGTATATATAAAAAACCAACTTAACTGATAAAAGAAAAAAATATACATCATATCCAAAGCAGTATATGTTAAATCTAATGGAAATTAACTAATTTATTCTATGAAGGGTTGTGAATAATTGTAATGAAGAAATGCAGATAGACTCTGATTGTTTGGTGATATACAACTAAATGCTAAAATTTTGTACTTCCAAAAGTAGTGATAGAAGAATACAAATTTTAAGTGATTTTTCAAGAGATTTAAGTTTTTCCAGTACCAAAACCCTATCTGGTCAGTGGTGAAACTGAGCAGATAACTTGGTAGTGGAGGAAACTTAGAATTACTATATATTCAAGAAAATCTACTGCTAGATAGATTTATTCACACACACACACACACACACACACACCAATTGTGTGACATTGGACTGCTTTGTGGTGATCTATCTGGGTAGAGGATAGCCAAAAACCCAGAGCCATGCAGCCAGAAATTTCTGATCTCTACAAGCATATAAGAGTATCAGAGAAGCTACTGAAATCCAAGTAGCTATTTACAAGAGCTAAAGCAATGGGTTTCTGCAATCTTTTCTTCTCTGAGGCACTCTAGACCTGCAAGAGATACTGTCATGCAAATAACATCTAATGAAGGAAATATCATTTTAAGACCAGGGCTTGTATTTAGGCCAAACTATTCTCACAAGTCACAACAGAACACTTGCCCATAAAAAATAATATTTTGCACTGGGAAACTATACCAAGCAAACACCTTCAGGGCAGATGAAAGACAGCAACATGTTTGTTTCCTTAATCCTCCAGTACCACCATCCAGTCAAATCTATGGGTCTACTCAGTCTGAGAAAAATATCATAAAACAAACCTAAATTTAAAGAACAATTAGAACAAACAGAGCCATCTTTATTAGAAGTGCCGTGGTAATTTTCTTCAAATTTTAAGCTTTCTTGAATATTTTATATTATTTATATTTTATCTAGATAACTTTGCAGAAAAATATTGATTTTTATCACTAGTTTATGTTTCCCATGAATTTCCCCTAAAATGTCTACTGCTTTTCTCTCTTCAAAACTGGCATCAACTTTGAGAATGAGAATGAAATTATCAATGTAACCATGTGATGCTCTCCTTATAGTTTTAATTGTGCCTGAGAGGGTGGGAAGAAGCAAGATGAGAGAGACAAGGAGAGAGAATAACCCAAATATCTCTCCAGAATTTCTGTTCACTTTTATTCAAAGGAAGAAAACAAATGTGAAAATACCTTAAAAATGGAAAGCGCTATATACATTTAAATTATCTTATTTACTCTTCTTTTAGATTCTAACATTAGGATAAACACAAGATGATTTCACTCATCTATGGTGAAAAAAAAAAGAAACAACGCAAGGGAATAGACAGTCTCAAGTGATTACAAACACTTGGGCTTTGACTACAGAACTGAGCTTGCCACAAGATCTGGCAGGAGTGGGTGAGGGGAACGGAAGGTAGAGATAACCTAGAAGTTACACAAGGACAGTGGAGAATGGAGGCTCTGAAGCACTTTGGTGGTAGTGAAGGAGCAGTAGCTCTATACATTCAAAGCATAAACGTTTACAGTGCTGCAGCCATACTGACTCAACTATAATAAATTTAAATGAAAATCTAAAAAGTGATCCAATTCTTTCTTATAAAAAGGTCTCAAGAATACTGAAACATGTTCATATTGGCAAGGCAATCCTAAGGTTTCTGGCAGAGAGGGAGTGATACTAAAAAGTATGAATCTGGGCTTTATTCGATCTTTCTTGAGAAGGTACAGGCTTGGGGTATAAGAAAGTTTAGAGGAATGATGAGGTAGAGAGAAATCTACAGAAGGACCTGGGGAAGGTACAACTTTATTCTACTAGGACATCACATTGGCATGACAGTGCTTTCCTGACATCTGGTCTCTTTATTTATTATTTTTAAATTTTATTTATTTATTTATTTATTTGGCAACACCTGGTGATAGGGGTAACTTCTTTTTTATTTATTTTTATTTTGTTATTATTATTATTATTATTATTAGTGAAACACCATGAGGTACATTTGTAGACTTATAAATTTTTGTGCTTGGGTTACAGTCATACAAAGATCAAGTACCCATCCCTCCACCAGTGCCCATTCTCCACTCCCACCAATCCCAGTATCCCTCCTACCCCCCCCCCCCACCCCCATCCTCCCAGCCCACCCTGACTCTGTGGCAGGGCACTCCCTTTTATGTCTCTCTCCTTTTGGGTGCTGTGGTTTGCAAAAGAGACATTGGGTAGCAATCATGTTCGGTCTATAGTCTACTTTCAGCATGCATCTCCCATCCTGGGCGGATCTTCCCAACACTTTTTATTTGGTGATCCCTTCTCTATCTGATCTGTAGGGGTAACTTCTGGCTCTGCATTCAGGAATCAGTCTGGTGGTACTCAGGGGATCATATGGGATGCTGAGGACTGAATCAGGGTCTCGGATGTGTGCCACGCATGCATCCGACCCACTGTACTATTGATACGGCCCCTCATTCAGTCTCTTTTAATCCTTAGTCAAGTCAGAGAGAAGGGTCCTGTTCTTTCCACTGACTCCGTGGTAAATAGCCAGAGTTGGATCCTGACTGAGAAGATGTACTCATTCTATAGAAAGTATGCAACTGTAAGAATTGCAGGTTCAAATTAATTGCTGGGAGATTGTTGGGGAAGAAGTATTTTCCTCATTTGTTCTGGGAAGTAAAATATAACAGAAGTTTATGATAAAATATATTTCAAAGCACTTTCCTGCACCTCTTCCCCCACCCCACTCACACTGGTGAAGGTTGGCAGGAATCAAATTCAGGGCCTCACTATACTCTGCCTCTAGGGGTACCTTCCCTACCCTCATATTTTAAAAGTTAACTTTCTCCCTTGTATTCCAAGATCATATTAAGAACATGGGATGCATGGGGGAAGAAAAGAATAAAACTTAATTATAAATATGACATTACATTTTAAAACCATATATGCATATACTCACTAAAATTCTAGACTTAGAGAAAAAGTATAAAATTCCCTTCTTATAAGAAAAGTTTATTAACCGATATTGAACATGTTCATATAATTGATCACTTTATAAGCACATGTTCTCAATATAATGAACTTACTTGACAGGAGCCCTGCCCACCACAGCCATTCCTTGAGGTAAGAATGTCCACCTTGTCCTAGGAAAATCATAAATATAAAAATTAAGTGCTAAGTTGGTAAAGAAGGATTGAAGAACAGACTTCTGGGTAAAGTACTACATTGGAAAAAGAAAGACAGAGAGTTGGTATATGGAAACTTCAGCTAACTTACTTGGTCATTTGCAAAGACCTATTTATATCATGCCATCTTTGAATTCTACAGAAGGATTTTTCATTTTCAGGGAAATTTGAATCATGAGGACTACTTTACTTATGCCTGTCAGGGACAAGGAATAGAATACTATTAAGTCTTACTCTTTGTTTCATCATAGTTAAAAACAAAAGCCAGAATACCATGTATTGGCACCTAATGAGGACCTTATAGGAAGAAGACGATTAGTACAGAACTTCTGATATTTGGGACAGTCAAAAGAGGATCATGAGCAGCAGCTGGATTTAATGTTTACTCTTTACTTTGATATCATAAAACTTTTGGCTTAGTTCACTGTAAAGGAGAAGCAGTTTTGCTAAGGTAGTTAGGGTTTTTTCCTACAAATACAATTATGATAGTAAATCACTGTTAGACTGATTACAGAACATGGACTTTTCTCATCAATTGTAATATATTTAGTCCTGAGACTGTGATCTCTCTGTCCTAAGTGTCAAGCCTGTGCTCTACCACTGAGAACATTCTTTGCACAAATAAGTTAGCTCTGTTTAGGATTTTCTCCTTACAAATTCATAAATCTACATCACAATCATATTGCATTATGATTTCATCATCTTAAAAAATTAAGTAATATCAAAACAACTTCTGATCTTATCAAATAATGGTATAAATTATTTAAATATATAGTTACATATACTTATAGTTACATATATAGTTACTAACATATATACATACCTACAATATACTGCTTTTAGTGTTGCTGTAATTACATAAAATCTGAAATACTCTAGTATATAAATCTAGATAGTGTCACTGTTCTTTCATAAAGAGATTTTTATGAAGGCACCATAATTTACAAAGTTATTCATAGCTGAATTTTAGACATACAATGTTTCAAAACCAATCCTACCACTGCCCCATCTTTCTTCCACCAAAGTCTCCAGGTTCTCTCCCACCCCTCAGCCTGCCTCTTTGACAGGGACCTTTGCAAGTTTGCTTATTGTTTGGACCTCCTGCTGGCAGTGCTGTTGGCTCTGTGGTTTAGATATATCCCTAAACCACATCTCTGCCCCACCAATGATGCAGCCAGGCCCCTGCCTTCTACCTCAGATGCCTCCTGTCTGCCTCTTACTACTTTCAGGGTTTTTTTTGTTTTGTATTTGGGACCCACCTGGCAGTGTTCATGGCTTACTCCTGACTCTGCACTTAGGATTGACTCCTGGTGGTGCTTTGGGAACCACATGGGATGCCAGAGACCAAACCTGGGTCAGCCATGTACAAGGCAAACACCCTACTTGCTGTACTATCTCTCTGGCCACCTCTTCTTACTTTTCCCCTAAATTAATTTCCTTCCCCATCTTCCTTATTTCTATAACTTAGGATAAAAAAAGAATCTATAACAGGGTAAAAAAAGAATTTAGGAGGTATCACTGTTCCTTTTTTTTGGGTGTGTGAGTGGGCTGTGCTCAGGGCTTACTCCTGGTTCTGAACTCAAGGATTGTTTCTGGAATGTCAGCTGTGTGGAAGGCATGAACCAACCTACTGTACTATCTCTTAGCTCCTGTACTTTCATTGTTCTTAAGATAATTCCCATTATCTTAATTATTAGTGGAATTATTAGATCTAAGGGCTTTATTAGGTTAAAGCTTACTTTTAAGCTTTCCTAAATTGTTCTCTGGAAAGTATAGACCCACTTTTACTGTCTCACATAAAATATTTGGGTAGGCTATTTCCTGTAGTCCTTCACAAACATAAAATATTAGTATTAATTTTTCTTACTGATGTATAATTGACATATGGGAATTATCTTTAAAAGAAAAAAATAAGACCTTATTAAAATGGTAGACAATCATTCAGGAGCTTATATTTATATAGATGATATCTTTGTGGGAACAAATATAATTATATTTAATTACATTTGTTTATTAGCTTCTAAAATGTCTTATTTTATGAGTTTATATGTTTTCCCTATTTTCTATTAGGTATTCTTTTTATTTTATTTTTAATTTACTACAGTCATTCTTCATAGATCATGGATCTTCATCGCACTTTGTCATAAATTTTGGAATTCTCCTCCCATATGTCATTTACATTTTCATTTCATTTGTTTCTAAATAGGATTTTAAAAAATATTCCAGATAATACCTTCTTTTCATTATTTTTATGCTCAGAAAAAGTTTTCTTTTAGGTTTAAAAGTTATTTTAAATTTCACTCTAAGCTCTATAGAATGAATTTTGTTGAATGATACTAAATAAATTTTTACAGTTTTCTCTAATTTTTTGTCAGTTGTCTCAATATTTTTAACTGAATAATTCACACCCTATTCTAGTGTTTTGAACTGTCACTTAAAATCACATGTTAAATGTTATTTTATTTAAAGCATTTATGTTTTCAGTTACCATTTATTATTTTATCAGTCTTTTAAAAGTGCCAGTGCTGAGCTGTTTTAATTATAAACATTATATATCAACATATATTTTCTGATGCACAAATCTCCCAGTGTACTCTTTTATATATCATTTGTTTGTGTAATTTTTAGGTGTTTGTTTTTCCACATTGGAAAGTACTCTTTTATACATCACGTGTTTGTTTTCCCATATTGAAATAAATTTGAACTTTGGGGGTGGGGTGGGAGGGAGTGCTTAAGGCTTACTTCTGGCTCTGTGCTTGGGGATCACTCAAGGTAGTGCTCAGGGAATAATATGTGGTGCTGGGGACCAAATCAGGGTCAACCACGTGCAAAGCAAGCACCTTAACCTTGTACTAACTCTCTCTGGCTCAATAATATTGGACTTTTATATTATTATACTTGAAAATCAATTAAAAATCTATTAGCAATATAGGAGAATCAGAGTTTCCAGTAAGTGAAATGCTACTCTAAACAGTAACCAAATTCTATGACCTTCAATTTTCTTATAACACATGTTTATTGGATGCCAAACATTGTTCTAGGGAAGGTTTCTGCTCTTGTAAACCTGCTCTCAATAAACAAGGAAAGCTGCTGTCAAGTTAATAATAAATGTTCAATGACAAATTACACTTGGTTCAAAGGAAATAGAGTGTGATAGAGAATAATGAGATGGTAGTGAGAGACAAACCCTAAGGGTCTGGGCCATGCCAGTCTCCCTGAAATGATGATGTTTAGCCTGAATCCTAAAGGATGAGTCAGTCAAATGAAAGGCAGAGGAGAGTTCCAGGCAGTGGGAAAAACCTTTGAGATGGGAAAGAACTTGGCATATCCCAGGAACCAGGGAGAGACAGATGGTTGGTGGGGGAACAGCCGATGAAGCTGAAGAGATAACAGGGCCTGTTGCAAACAGGAACTGAGAGCATAGGGAAGGATGTTCAGCTCTTACTGAGCGTGCAAAGAAACCTCCCAGTGTGGCTTTAAAAAAGGGAGGAATGTGATCTGACTGGATACCAAAACTATAGTCTAAAGCTATGAAAGAAAAACCCACTGCACACACTTAGCCTCTTAAAGCAAGGACTTTAGTTTCACGCTACAGGATTCATAGTGGGCTCAAACTGCTGATAAGGAATTGCTAAGAACAGTCACAGAGGCTCGGACAACAGAGGCAGTAACATGTTGTTAACAAAGCATTAGAGTCTTGTACAGGGAGATCATTTCTGTAGTTTGACACTTGACTTGGTTAGTCGCATCCGCTCCTTACCCGCTCGGGTAAAACCCTTGTTGGCCAACTGCAAGAGGCCCTTCTTTTTCAGTATGAAGCTGGAGCCAATAAAAATACTGGAACTTACTGCCAGTATCAGGCCCACATAGAGGCTGTATTTGTTTTCGATGTTTGCAGAAATGCTCAGGTTGGTTCTGCTGGCATTCGGGTCCCCGGAGAGCTCTGAAGCCAGTAGCTGTGACACATTTGTGATGGAGCACCAAGCCTGGGAGGAGTTGGGACACACCAGAGATAGCACATAACCTAGGAAAAAAAGAAACAAAACAGAAGTCAACAAACAAAAGGAGAGGCTAGTGTTAATTTAAATGACTAGTGTAATACAAAGGAGGGGTTAATGTGGATTGCCTATCAGGGTTGACTCCCTTCCTGTCAGAACCAGGAAGCCCAGAGGAGAGTGACAAGGTGCTTATGTGGCAAGAAGGGGAGTCCCCAGCAGGTGCTACTCACACCTGTGGTCATGCTGTTAAGTTTTGCTCAGAACCAAATGGCAGCCGGCTGATAAGATAGGCTGATGAGACAGTCAGGAATCAAAGATCACCCTATCCCCTCCCATACGAAAACAGGACTTGGGATGATGGTCCACCCCAAGCCTGGGAGCCCCCAGGCCCCATTCCATGCTTCCTTATCAAGCACACCCCTCCCACTGCTCTTGGTTTCCTTTCCCACCCAGGACAATTTAAGATCCTACTAAGCTTCTTCCAGGGCAAGGCTCTACCCCAGTCTCACTAAAGGTGAACTGGGTCCACCCAGGAGTGCACCCAATAAACTTATCCTGTTTCTTCACTTGTGTCTGTCCTTCTGCCTGCATCAGGTCCCAGACCTGTCACACACTAGATTTGCTTCACACAGGATCTTAAAAATGATTCTTAATGGAGGTCAGGGAAATAGTACAGTGAACAGGGCATTTGTACGTAGTCAACACAGCTTTGATCCCCAGCACCCCAGGTGGTCCCCTGAATACTTCCAGGAGTGATTCCCGAGCACACAGTCAGAAGTAAGCCCTGAGCACTGCTGAGTATTATCCAAAACAAAAACAACAACGTGGGTCTTAAAAATCATTTATCATTTAAAAGTGAAAGATTTCACAAGAACACCTGCTTTTTTTTTCTTTTTGGGTCACACCCAGCGATGCTCAGGGGTTACTCCTTGTTCTGCACTCAGGAATTAGTCCTGGCAGTGCTTGAGGGACCATATAGGATGCTGGGAATCGAACCCAGGTCGGCAATGTGCAAGGCAAACGCCCTACCCACTGTTCTATTGCTCCAGCCCCCTTTCACATGAACACCTGAATTCTTGTTAATCAGAAGATCTGGCAACACTTGGTTCTTTCCTGGAGCAAAACAGTAACCTGCTAAGGCATCCTGTAGTTCTCTGGGCCTGGTGTATCCTCTGCAGTTCTTCACCCCCCCCACCCCCCCGCATGGCCATCCTGCCTTACAGGACCTGGGTGCCTCCTGAAAAGTAGGGTGTGCCATTTCTGAAAGTACTGAGAGTACAGCCACTTCAAGTCTTTATAAGAAATTATCCAACCTATTGGGTGGGGTATGAACTGAACATTTCAGAAAATGCCTTTTTCAGTGGGTTTGACTTCCTGTATTACTTTCCCTGATCTTCCAGGTCTAACCATCCATTTCCTAAACATAGTAAAATATGATAGAACAGAGTAACCATCAGTAAATTTTTCTTAGACTCGGATTCAAGTAAGCATGTAGATCCAGTGTAGCTCCCAAAAGGATATTTCAGAAGATTGAAACAAGAGAAAACAAGAGAAACTTTAGGGGCCTCCTCTGTGGTGGTGAGGGTCGCCAGCTATAGCTGGAGGTGCTCTGCAGTCATGCAGGGCAAGTACTCCAGCCCTGGGAGCTAACTCCCTGCCTCCCTATGCAAGAAATAATAATTGCTCCCCTTCTCCCACCCTTTTTTTTAATTTTTGGGTCACGCCCAGTGATGCTCAGGGGTTACTCCTGGCTCTGCACTCAGGAATTACTCCTGGCAGTGCTTGAAGGACCATATGGGATGCCGGGAATCGAACCCGGGTCGGCTATGTGCAAGGCAATTGCCCTACCCACTGTGCTATCGCTCCAGCCCCCTCCCCCTTTCCCTTTCTAAAAAGCGGCCATTAAGGTGAAATTTTGACTCATATAATTTTTACTATATTTTGCAACATTTTTTCCTCAGAAAGATAAATATCTAATTATTCTAATCAAAATAAATCAAATACTATTACAAAATCCAACAAAAGAATCAGTTCTGTATCAAAAATATATTAAGATAGTGCAACAAAACATTAAACAACACAACAAAGTATAGCTTGACGAAATAATCTCCTAGCAATAAAACTTGAACAACTGAATTTGTGCTTACTTGGCAAAATGTTATAAAGTCATCTAAATTTGATTACATATAAAGTTAAGAAATAATCATAACACTAAAATAAAGAAATAATCACAAGCTGGAGAGATAGCACAGCAGGTAGGGCGTTCGCCTTACAAGCGGCCAACATGGCCGACCCGAGTTCAATTCCTCCGCCCCTCTCGGAGAGCCCGGCGAGAGTATTCGATATGCCAGACACAGTAACAACAAAGTCTCCAATGGAGACGTTACTGGGCCCGCTCGAGCAAATCGACGATCAACAGGAGGGCCTTTACCTTTACCTTACCTTTATCAGGTAAGTGAAAAGGTAAAATAACTGTATCCCAGCTTTTTACAGTCATAGCATCACTTATTCCCTATACCTTAAAAATTAAGCATATTAGAGACATAACATTCATTCTTATATAAATTTCTTAATATTCTAAGGAGAATTGTATTACTTTAGAAATAATACTGAGGAAACTTTTGTCAGTTGCTTTTAGAAAGAGACAGCAATTTTTGTTGGTTTTGTTTTTCGGTCACACCCAGTGGTCCTTTCTTGGGAGTAACTCCTGTCTCTGTGCTCAGGAATTCACCCAGGCAGTGTTCAGGGAACCATATGGGATCCTGGGGTTTGAACCCACTGGCAACACTCTACCAGCTAAACTCACTCTGGCCCTAGAAACAGCAAATGTTTCAATGAACTAGTCCTTGACAATCTTATTCTGAGCACCATTCATCTCATCTAAACCCAAAGGAGGGAAAGAATTTTTGGATAGTAAGAATTTTGCTCATTAATTCCTGAGAAAACATTTGATTTGACTTTCCAGTGAATTCCATGGCTGTATTTGTGTTGTTTTTACTATGTAGTTAACATAATCATTCCAAGACTTCCATCTCTGAACATGGTGTGGGTAGATTTCATTCCAGTAAAACAATGTTCTTTCTAATCTGTTGACATAGCAAAATGTTTCCAGCATTTTCCAGGTCTGTGGAGGCAGAGTGATAAGGGAGAGCATACTATTACTGCTGCTATGTTTGTTAGCTCTTCTAAGTGCCAGGCACTAATGCTGTAAGTTTTATGACAGAAAAAAAATAATTTTTAAACCCTGTCTTATTGCTGACTTTAGAACTTCCTGGGGCAGAGAAGGGAGCACCAAATAAAGGGTGTTGGGAGAATCCTCCCAGGATGGGAGATGCATGCCAAAAGTAGACTATAGACCGAACATGACAGTCACTCAATGCATCTTTTGCAAACCACAGCACCCAAAAAGGAGAGAGAGAACAAAAGGGAATGCCCTGCCACAGAGGCAGGGTGGGGTGGGGGTAATAGGGGGTGGGAGGGATACTGGGATCAGTGGTGGTGGAGAATGGGCACTGGTGGAGGGATGGGTATTTGATCATTGTATAATTGAAACCCAAGCACAAAAATGTGTAAGTCTACAACTGTACCTCAAGGTGTTTCAGTAATAAAATTAAAAAAAAAATAGAACTTCCTGGGGTATATGATAAGTGAAGAGAATAGGGCCAATGTAATGGAAGGCAGGAGTGAGAGGCAAGGGAATGAAGGCTGTGCTGGTGTGTGTGTGTGTGTGTGTGTGTGTGTGTGTGTGTGTGCAGAACAAAAGGAGCAAACTGGGTAAAGTAGAAAGTATAAGCAGGGATTTCAGAGTATTGTAGAGAAATCAAAGATGCCAAAATCAGATGTGACTTTGTAAGGCTTAAGTAAGCAAAGCACGCAGCCAGGAAATTTAATTCAGATTCTTCAAGATGGAAAGTAAAAATTAATTATAATCATTATTTTCCATTGTAATAGAAATTGTCAGGAGCCTGTAGACTGATCATACCAATATATCTTCCTGTCAATAATAAGCAAGTAGATTTTACATTGTTATTTGTTTTTCTAAATATTAGGCAATTAATATTTAGAAAATATTTATAAATCAAAATTAATTCAATATGCATGATGTATCAACTACCCAATTTAAGGAAGAAAACATTACTCCCAGAGGTAATGACTATTCTGTTTTCCTGCATCACATTCTTCTGCTTTAAAAATAATTATTTACCCGATATGGTCATATGTTCAAATAATACCTTGTTTAGGTTTACCTCTTGCAACATACATAAAAGGTATTATTTCATGTGTTCTTTGGTGACTTATTTGTTATAAAATTTATTGTGGCGCCATTGCCATGCCTCTGGAACCCCATGCCAGGTTGCTCCATTCAGGGCAGGGGTGTGTGTGAGGCCTCTCCATGACCCAAGGGACCCAGCCCTGGCAGCCAAAAATCTCCAGAACTCAACCGCTGCCCTGCTCATGGCCACTTCCCACATGCTCAGGCTGAGTCTCACCCATGAGTGAACCTATCCCTGGACTGCACAGCCGCATTTGTGGCTGCACAACATCTCACACCTCACACACTCATACTCCAAGAGTAGCACAACACATTTGATGGGGTTAAAGTAGAAGGCAACCAATCTTAGAGGGAAATATATTTTACATACACACACACACACACACACATACACACACACATACATATATATATGCTGGGTTGGAGCAATAGCACAGTGGGTAGGGCGTTTACCTTGCATGAGGCCGACCCGGGTTCAATTCCTCCCTCCCTCTCGGATAGCCTAGCAAGTTACATAGAGTATCCCGCCTGCACTGCAGAGCCTGGCAAGCTCCCCGTGACCTATTCGATATGCCAAAAACAGTAACAACAAGTCTCACAATGGAGACATTATTGGTGCCCTCTTGAGCAAATCGATGAACAATGGGAGGACAGTGATATATATATACATGTATATATATGTGTGTGTATATATATATATATTTTTTCTCATCAGCCACCCTCGAGAACTCACGGTTCCTTCTCCTGGAAGGGAGCATAAAATGAGGCCCCCATAACCATGCCACTGGACTTCGTGCCAGGCTGTTTTCACTCGGGGAGCCCCAGAGGGGTTTAGGTGAAAGCCCTCCCTGCCCCAAGGGACCCAGCCCCAGCAGTCAACCTCCACTACCTAACTGCTGCCACACTCCAGGCCACTTTCCACACGCTCAGGCTAACCCTCACATATGAGTGAACATATTGCTGGATATGTGGCCCCAAAAGCCATCATAAGACACATCATAAGACACTCCCTACCCATTTTCCATAATTACCACACCATATTTGATGGGGTTCAGACAGTAGGCAACAAATCACAGAGGGAAATTATATATATATATGCCTCTCGGAGAACCCAGCAAGCTACCGAGAGTATCTTGACTGCACATGAGAGCCTGGCAAGCTCCCCGTGGTATATTCGATATGCCAAAAACAGTCACTATAGCAGGTCTCATTTCCCTGACCCTGAAGAGCCTCCAATACGGCAGCATTGGGAAAGACAAGTAAGGAGAGGCTGCTAAAATCTTAGGGCTGGGGCAAATGGAGACGTTACTGGTGCCCTCTCGAGTAAATCGATAAACAACGGTATGACAGTGATACAGGTATTACGGTGGTAGGATTGGTGTTAGAATATTAAATGTAATCAAATATTGTGAACTACTTTATGAAAATAAAATTGAATTTAAAAAATTTATTGTGTTATTTTACAGGCCTGTACTTACAATAACTTTTTTTGTTTTAAGATCGGTGGGCATTTGTGTTATTTCTAGTGCTTTTTCTCTTATAAGCAAGTACTGCTAATATTTTTAATTATATTGAATAATTTATAATTGATGACATTTGACCCTATAAGATAACAATTTAACATGGTTCAACTTAGTCTGGCAAAGTTTTGAAAGTTTACTTAGACACACACACACACACACACACACACACACACATACACAAATATTAGGTCAGGGAAATAGGACACGTGATAGAATGGGCAGCTGGTATGTGAGGTGAAATGAACCTATTGAAAAATAGCTTTGATCTTGTCATTTCTCCTTCCAAAATTCTCAGCTGTCTTTCCTTCTTTTTCAGAAAAACACCAAATCACCACCAGTTTTCATGAGCCTACAGACTCCTGTCTCCAGGTACTTCTCTACCTCTCCACAAGGTTTCCCTACAGGCAATGGTGGAGGCGTCAACCAGCAACATTCAGTCCCCCAAACCACCACCCTAATGGGGACTGGAAATGCCTTATCTGACTTCCCAATCCAAAACAATTTCTCAGTCACTTTCCATCATTTCTACCATTTAATACTTCTGATTAAGCTATAACATTCTTATAGATTAATTATGGCCTTAGAATACCATTGCATATCCAAAATGCTACCAAGTATTCACTCAACAAAACAGTTGCTGAAAACCTACCAGACAAGACACAAGGTTAGGTATTTATTTATTCAACACTTAGCAAATTCTTACAGAGCACCACCCATGTTTTAAAGGGAGATAGTGACAGGTGATCCCACCTTTTCTCCTCAAGCTGACTTTTAATGAGAGAATGAACAAAATGGCAGGATAAGGGAGCAGAAGAGGAAAAAGCAACAACTTACAATGGAGAATTAGAATGAGGTAGAATTATGGGACTGGAGAGATATTAAAGAATACTTACTTTGCATGTAGCCAACCCATGTTTGATCCCAGCATCCCATATGAATCCCACCAGGAGCTTTGCCTTAACACAGCCAGGAATACATCCTTAGCACCACTCAGTGTCAACCCTAAACAAACACAAATCCCCCAAAAACCTCCAAAACAAATTCATGATGTCTCCACTTTATAATGTATATATCACAAAATGTGTTAAGTTGTTAAAGAAAATCCTCTTGCAATTAAAAAAAAGGTTTAATTAAACAACTAAAATGCAGAAAAGGGAAACTAAGGAATTTATTTCAGTAAGTACGCATTTATATCTAGGTTTAAAAATTATTATTGTGTAGAGGTCAAACTAAATATTAGACTCATTCATAATATTGTTTTCTGAGCAATCTTTAGGGAGAATTTTTGTTACCTTTAAGCATTTTTGAAATTCAGCACTTAAAGAAGTCTACAGTAGTGTGGCTGACTGGAAAGACAACTGGTGTTCTTAATCCTCTTGTAAAAATCTGGAGAATTATTTTTTAAGGGGATTTAGCAGGCACTATGGTTGCACCCCTAGAAGACAGTGCTGGGAAGCTGGGATCGAACTCAGGGATCAAAGACGCTAAGCATGAATTCTTCCACCTGACCCAGCTCTTGGCCCTTGAAAAACCATTTTAAAGTTCAGCATGGAATCAGCTATATTTCACACAAAAATGCAACTTGTTCTGATAAACTTGTTTCCATTTGTTGTAGTTTATTTTATTCTGGGAGGAGGAAGGGCACCCTCCGCAGTACTAGGGCTTATTCCAGGCTATATGGAGTGGGGAGATTGAACCCAGGTTGGCTGCATGCAAGGCAAGTACCTTTACCTGCTATACTATCTCTCTGGCACCCCATTTGGTGGATTTTCATAAGTGCTAATGATATGATTTTTTTTAAAGAAGTATAATCTCAGGGGAGCCAGAGCAGTAGTATAGTGGGTATGACATTTGCCTTGCATATAGATGACCCGGGTTCAATACCTGGCATCCCACATGGTCCCCTGAGCACCACCAGGAGTAATTCCTGAGCACCACCAGGAGTAATTCCTGAGTGCAGAGCCAGGAGTAACCCCTGAGCATCACCAGGTTTGATGCAAAATTCCAAAAAGGAAAAAAAAAGTAGAATCTCAGAATCATTAAAATGTAGGCCATTGCAGGGTTGGAGTGATAGTACAGTGGATAGGAGCTTCCCTTGCATGCGGCCCAGGGAAGCCACGGTTGGATCCCTGGTACCACATATGATCCCTGGAGTCTGCCAGGAATAAGCCCTAAACATCGCTGGCTGTGGTCCCCAAACAAAACAATGCAAAACAAAAAATGTATGCCATTGCATCCGGAAAAAAATTAAGGCCCAAATAATTTTCTGCTCGTTATTTAGAACAGACTCAGTCTGTCTTTATTGTTTATTTGTTTCAATTTGGGGACCATACCCAGTGGTACTTGGGGGCTACTCAAGGCAATGCATTGTAGAGGACCGAGTCTGGGCCTTTAGCAGGAAAAACATGCACTTAGTCTCCAATCTTCCTCATGAGTTTGGGATAAAATTCTGAAGAAACTGTTTCTAATGTTCATAAAGGTCAAGCTTTACAGATAGATGGTGGCTGGATTTTTTTTTTTATACCATATTTTCAAGTTAATGAAGTTCTGCTTTGATTCAAATTGAGTTCTGTAATGTATGTGACTTAATACAATAAACTTCCCTGAAAAATATCCCTCCATCTGTGTTTAAATTTGCTTCTTGAGGGACTGGGGAGATATTAGTGTGCAAAGCATGGCAGAGGCTAACCAAGTTCAATCCTGGGCACTCCCTTTGGTCTTCTATGCCCTCCAGGAGCGATCCCTGAGAACAGAGCCAGGATAAATCCTGAGCACCACCAGATGTGACCCCCAAACAAAACAAAGAAAACATGCTTCTTGAGGTAATTTTGGATTAGAAGGTGGTTTGAAGCATCTGCAACTTTAAAAGTACAAAACATAGTATGGGGTTCACCTTTGTTTTCATAGAAGCCTAATTACGATCTCTGCCTTCAGATCTACGATGAACTCTTTGCCATTTGGGTCTTAACTTATGCAATTTTTCCATAAGCAACCGTTCCTGGGTATTCAACTGGCAAATCTCAACTCCTGAAGGAGCACATTCATGTCACTCTCCACTGTTGCATAACCTGGCTCCTCCCACAGGGAGCTTAGGTTTATTGAGTTACTCCCACAACAGTGCTCCCGAGGCACACCCAATTCCATCAGGCACTAATAATCCTATATTCCTCTTCTCTTTCCTTTATGTCCTTTGTGTGATTTATCAATGTCCTTTTTGTATAGACACATGAAGACAGTTGATGCTATGCTTTTGAAACATGGATGTTAATTGACTCCGAATAAAACTTACTCCTGGGCATCCATCATATTTACCTCAGTTGCCCTTACTTCCTCACACCCCCAAAAGGAGGGTCCCAGCAAGGAACAAGGATAGACCCGGGGCAAGCTGTAAGCTACCCTGGCATCAAAATGAGACAACTAAGAATAATGTTAAGAGCACAGTCACGGAACAAACTCTGTCATGACCCCAAAAGAAGTAACTGAATAAGGACCCTGCTGGGGTTAGGAGAGACTAACTGCCCCTAGGACTGCAGTCTGGGATATAGAGTGAGATGTCCCCAGGAAAAGCCAACCTTTAAGCTTAATATATCTCTGACCGTGTTCATACAAAATGACTAGAAATATTAGTATCCAATATGATTGTTTAAATGGATTATTAGCTGAGGAAAGGAGAAAGCAATATGCCTATGATGGGATCCCACACTTGAGCAGATCTCTTAGTAATCTAGAGTGCTAACCCCCAGATGAGATTTTGTCCTTGAGTTAATCTAGAAGAACTTGACCTGAAGGAGTGGCTTTACATCTGTTTGTTGTTATGATAATGTTCCACTCCCTCCTTGTGTACCCCAACCCTTTATGATTTCTATATAACTATGCTGTAAGGAGGAAGAGGGGAAGAAAATAACAATGCTGGGGGAAGAAACAACTATGCTACAGGAGAATGAAGCTGTAAGGATGAAGATGAGAATGAAAGAAATGTCCCCTGACTACCAATCAGTCTGTGAATCACTCGTTTTTTCCTTCATTCTCCTGTCACCTTTGGCTGGCCTGGGGAGGTGGTTCTAGGACACTGAATGCTTGTGTCCCTCGCGACCATGGTTTTTGAACCTCACACCTGTGATGTTCCTTTAAAAAAAAAAAAGTCATATTCAACTATTTCTTGCCTTCTTAGACAGGCAGTTGCATAGGATCAGGAACCTGCTAGAAACAGATGCAAATTCCTCTGTCCCTTGGACCAGTGCCTCTGACCTAGGAATCTTAGGATTGGAATGAATGAATAAACACTTGAGCCTCTATTCAGTATCAGATTCTGATCTCTCTGCTTCATGTGGCATCCCACCTCCATCTAAGCTTTACAACTGGAAACTGGAGGAATTCTGTCCAATTCATGGATGAAGACTCAGGTTGCCTAAACCATAAACGAGAAGAAGCTGATGCCATAATCTCTTCCTGCTACTGCTGACAATGTGGATTCTTTTCTCAGTTCTTTCCCATCAGTCTCCCACACACGATTAATCATAGGTATTAAGTAATGAGATAAAGGGTTTCTTCTTGAATTAAATACATGAGGAGAACAGGAAAAGTCTCAGAAGTTCCAACTAGCAGGTGTCATTCATACACCTTCTTACTTAGAGATCCCTGGTAAACAAAGGTGGATGGATGGGTAAGTCACAGTCTAACTCGTGACTTTAAGCATCATTAAGAGAAAGATCATATAAACTAGCTAGGAAGTAATTCTGGAAATAGGTGTCTTTGGGCAACCGCTGCCCCAAACCTTAGCTTCTGAATAGTACCTGAATGGTTCAGGCTCCTTTGTGTCTCTTCTTTCCCTTTCACTGGCATAGTTCCAGACTATTTCCTTTTACTTAGTTTGTTTTAATTTACTCTGCGTGTCAAGAAAACGAAGATGGGAAGAACCTAGGAGAAAGCCTTGGGAGAAGCCTGAGGCTTTAGAAAAGTAAGGCTCTTGCCATGCCCGTCGGTGGCTCCTCCCTCTTCACGTCTTTTATTGTTAAATTAGATACTAGTTTTCTTGCCCTGTCCCACTGGACATTGTGAAAAGCGTGATTTCAGTGGATGCACCCTTCCTATCCATGCCTAACCCGTGGCCTCACTTTATCAGGACGCGTGCTCCACCCACTTCTGCCTAGAGCCCGCTAGGGTTGCAAACTCCTGGCAAAGAGGAAGGGGTTGCACCCAGAGATTTCTAGAACTCGGGTCGGGGCTGAAACTCCAGTCTAGCAAGCGGTGACAAATCACACAGAGACTGCGCCCAGAAGGGCTGGAGAAGTAGTAGAAAGGTTGAGGTGTTTGCCTTGCACTGGAATGACCCTGATTCCATCTGTACTACTAACTCCCTACAGCACAGAATCGGAATAAGCCCTGAGCAACAGCGGGTGTGGCCCGAACAAACAAACAAGCAAACAAACAAACACAATCAATTCAGAGACTGCGCCCAGCTCCCCTGTCCCTTCAGTCCGGCAGCCTAGAGATGACTGTCCAGCTAGTCAGAGAGAAGTCCAGCGGCGCGGCAGGATGCCCAATTGGGCGGTGCAACCGAGGGGGGTCCCGCACCCCCTAATGCCCTCGGCCGGAGGAGGGGGGGCGCCTGGCGTTCCCTGGGACCCACCCTCCCGGCCACGCCCTCTGCCCACGGGCTGATGTGGACTACTGAGTCAGAGGAAACATTTCCTCCAGGAGATCTGGGGGTCTCCCCACCGCACCTGGCACCTGGCGTCGCAGACGCGGGTAGCCGTCCGCAGCCTCAGAGTGGGGACGCCAACACTGTTAGACCCCGGCTTCCCACCCCCTCAGCCCCCCAGGCATGGCATAAGGTCGAAAGCAACAACCACTTGCTGAGGAGTGGCTGGATGAGCGCGTCGGGGCACGAACGCCTGCAGAGTGGCGTGGGAGGCGTCCCAGACGGTCCCCCTCCGTCTCATAGCTACCCAGATGCTCGCTTCCCGGGTTTGGGGACAGATTCTCACCTTCCTGGCAGGGCTCTCCGGGCGGCAGCCTCACCTGTGCCCCCATGGCCCCAGACGGGGCTTCACGGGTACCGACGCTCGCTCTGCACTCACCTGGGCGTCTCCGCCTCTCCGTGGACCCGCGCTCCCGAGCCACTCCCGGTCCCAGACTGGGGCGCGCGGGCCCCGCCCCCGGAGAGGATCCACCAATGAGAGCTGCGGGGCTGGGCCTCGGAGCGAGCCCCGCCCCAGGTTCGAGGGGGCGCGTTTAGTTTACTGAGTCCGGGCCGCGCGGGCGGCTCCCGGGGACTCGCGTGACTCGCGGGCACGCCAACTTCCTTGGGGGTCTGGATCTGGAGCATCACAGACCTCCGGCGCAGGATAAAGGCGTTTTTCAAAGCGTGGAGGAGGAGGAGGCGATTTGGGAAATTGGAGGAGGGTGGGTGGGGAGGGGCGTAAGGGCTGCGCCGGTTCGGGCTCCTCTTGCGTGGAAGGGTCTCAGGAGCCGCTGGATTCTCAGAGCCCTGCGTGGGGAAATTATTGATCACTGGGATTCTGATCTTATTACCTCATTATGTCTATTCTTGGGCGTTAGAGCAGTCATCGAAGTTTCTGCTCTGTTAACACCTTTCTCCCCATTTTGTAATACTGTTACTGCCAGTGAATCCCAAGGAGAAAGGGTATGCTTAGTCCTACCAAATAACATTAGTTAAAACCTATTATATGTTTGTGTTGCCATGCACATAGGGTGCGCTTCACGTTATGTGTATCAACTCATTGTATCTTATTTATTTGAGGGGGGTTGAAGGTCACACTAGGCTGTGCTCAGGGCTTACTCCTTGCTCTGTGCTTTAGGAATCACTCCTGGTGATCTTTGGGGGGCCATATGGGGTGCCAGGGTCTGAACGCCGCCACGCGAAAGGCAAATTTATTTTTTTATGAGTTGTTTCAGGTTAATTTTTATAGGTTAGGTAGCATGGTTATGATATTGTTAATATTTATTTTATTTATGTACAGAAGTATTTATCACATTTAGCAGAGAAATGAAGTCAGCCATGAGATATTTTTAGTGAGAATAGCATACACTGAAAAGACTGGAAATGATCAGTGTTGGAAGGTGTGTTGAAAAAGGAACCTTCATTCACTATTGGTGAATGTGATCTGGTCTAGCCTTTATGGTAAACAGTATGGAAATTTCCCCCAGAATAAAATAATAGAACTCTCAATAAGTTCAGAAATTTCAATTAGCATCCACCCCACCACAACATCAATTTGAAACATCCATGTTTGTTGTAGCACTTAATGCAATAACCAGTTTATGGAAATAAACAAATATTCATTGACAAATGCACTGATAAATCACGGTATAATTTATGTCATGTTACATAACAATGGAATACTACCCAGGTATATGTTGAAACTGTATAGTTATGATGAATGGAACTGAGGGATATCATATTAAGCAAAATAAGCTTTTTGAGTTTTAAAACAAAATCCCACTTTCCAGAGGAGGGATCAGATTCAACAGTGACTTAAACAATTTCCAAGCACAATTGAGAACAGTCCAACCCCCTCCCCACAGCCATCCTCAAAGAACAACAAAAAATTCTAAAGCTAGTAAATGAATTAAAAGTAGACTGAAGCAGGAATCCTTAGCTAGAAAATTTGGCAGCAGGCCAGTACACAACGTGAAATGAGAACAAATTCTGCTAAAATTCTCACTGCAGGGGTTGGAGGTATAGTACAGTGGGTAGGGCATTTGCCTTGCAAACCCAGTTTCAACCCTCAGCATCCCACGTGGTCCCTTGAGCATCGACAGGAGTGATTCCTTGAGTGCAGAACCAGGAGTAACCCTTGTTCATTGCCAGGTGTGACTACCCCCCCCCCCCAAAAAAAAAGAAAAAAGAAAAAAAAAACTCTCACTGCAGTAACACATCTTCGTCTTAGTCTCTGTTACTTTAGTTCTGAAGAAAATGCTCTGCCTGCTCAGTTTGCTTTTGCTTTTCAGCGTCACATGAGCCATGCTGTTTGTCACCTAGGAGTTTCAGAGCAGGGGCCTCGACCTTGATTTTCTTGTTTTAGACTGATGAGAGAAGAGTTAAGAACAGTCAACATAGTCTATGGCACACATGTTCATCTGTGGAAGGTTCGGTGGAGGAGTGGCATTGGGTGAGGAATAGATGAAAGTTGGAAAGAGATACTTATGCCCAATTTGGATTTCCCTCCCGTTGATCATCGATTTGCTCCAGCGGGCCCAGTAACGTCTCCATTGGAGACTTTGTTGTTACTGTGTTTGGCATATCGAATACATCACGGGGAGCTTGCCAGGCTCTGCCGTGCGGGCGAGATACTCTCGGTAGCTTGATACTCTCGGTAGCTTGCCGGGCTCTCCGAGAGGGGCGGAAGAATCCAACTCAGGTGGGCCATGTTGGCTGCGTGCAAGGCAAACGCCCTACCCGCTGTGCTATTGGATAAGCCTTAAGATTTAGATTTTTATTTCAGCATGTTGTTTGCTGCTGGGCTGGAGTGATAGCACAGCGGGTAGAGGGGTAGGGCATTTGCCTTGCACACAGCCGACCAGGGTTCAATTCCTCCGCCTCTCTCGGAAAGCCCGGTGAGCTGCCGAGAGTATCTCGCCTGCACCGCAAAGCCTGGCAAGCTACCCATGATGTATTCGATATGTCAAAAACAGTAACAAGAAGTCTCATAATTTGTTGTGAGACGTGACTGGTGCCTGCTCGAGCAAATCGATGAACAACGGGATGACAGTGCTACAGGACAGTGCTACAGTTATTTGCTGACAGAATTGAACATTTTGTCTTTATCAGTGATGGTAGGGCATGTGATCTAAAGTATTATTTAATAGATACTCCATACAGCATGAAGTTCTAAGCACTTCATATTTGTCTTTTAAATCATCCCAAAGATACTATTACCAATCTCTACTTTACCAAGGAAGACAAGAATATAGAAATGTAGTAGTTTGTCTAGGCACACATAACTGCTAAGTGATAAAACTAGGATGCTAAGGACTCCTGCTTCAGTCTACTTTTAATTCATTCACTAACTTTAGAAAATTTGTTTTTGTTGTTCTTTGAGGATGTTTGTGGGGAGGGGGTTGGACTGTTCTCAATTGTGCTCAGGGCTTACTCCTCGCTCTATGCTCAGGGGTTTCTCCTGGTGGAGCGGAGGGAACCACATGTATGGGCTAGAATCAAACTACACTTGGCTGGGCACTGCCTTACCTGCAGCTTACCTGTGGTGCTGTCTCTTCAGCAGCTAAGATAAGGGCTGGGTTGGATTAGAATTTGAACTACACCTGGCTGTGCTCAGGGTTCACTCCTGGGGTGGTTTGGGGGACCATATGTGGTGGCAAGGATTGAATCCAAGGCAAGGTGAATACCCTATATCCTTGTTTAATCTCACCAGCCTCTAAATTTTTTCTAAAGTGTATCTTTAAGATGATTTTTAAAATAAATTTTAGTTAAAAAATTAGGACCTATTTTAGGTAGGAGGCAACTTATTATAATTCCCACTTTTCAGTTCTGACAACTAAAATAAAGAAAAAAATTGAACTTGTTTCAGAACACGGTTTTCCCAGTTTAAATCGTACCTAGCAAAGCCATGGCCCATTTCTATTGGATATTATTCAGTTACAGCGCTACAGAGTCTTGTGAGTGACATTTTTTGGGGATTTTTATTCCCAACAAAGAGCATGAAATTCACTTAATCAAAAGAAGAGCACTCAAAAATTTCAAATGAAGCCCCTGTGATGTATTCAATGATGGGGCACTTGCCTTGTATGGGTTAGGCCCTTGGTTTAATTTTCACACTGCAAAATTTATGAAAAATTAAAATAAAATAGAATCTTGAATTATCCAAATCTAATTTGGAAACATTTACTTTCTAATTCAATTTATGATGGGATAATTAATGAAATAAATTCTAAAACTATCAGTTCCTTTTGTCTTCTTGGTCTCATATATTCTATATTGATGATCAAAATAAATGAACAATCAGTAGAATCTTAAGGCTTCAAGGTATAAGCCTTCAGATTCCTTGAACTCTAGGGGTCTGGGATGAAAACCCAGCAGTGCTCAGGGTTTATTCCTGGTTCTGCTCTCAGGGATCACTCCTGGAAGTGTTCAGGGAGCCCTATGGAATGCTGGCAATCGATCTTGCTCAGCCTTGTGCAAGGCAAATGTCCTGTACTCGGTACCATCTCTCTGGCCCTGCATTTCACATTTAAAGCTAAGCTGTCAAGCAAATCGTTTAACTGGCTTGTTTAGTCTGATCACATGTTTTATATTTATTGATGTGGTTGGATTAAGAACCAGAGTTTCTTTAACATTTCTTGGGGCCCGAGCCATAGTAGGTAGGGCATTTATTGTGCATGTAGGTGACCCAGGTTTGATCCCTGGAGTTCCATATGGTCCCCTGAGCACCACCAGGAATCATTCCTGAGTGCAGAGCCAGGAGTAACACCTGAGTATTGCCAGGTGTGACCCCCAAAGTCAAATAAAAACCAAAACAAAGCAAAAAATTCTTAGAATGCATATTAGCTACAAATAATCTCTTTACATTTTTTGATTATTTGAAAAAGTTCTTTGACTTTTTAAAGCAATTATATAAGTTGACAATATTTCTTTTCTTTCAGCACTTTAAAGATACTTCTTCACTGTCTTTTAGTGTACATTATTCCCATTGCATGGCTATTTTTGTTCATTTGTTCTCTGTTCCCATAATGTACCCACATTTTCTCTATAGCTGTTTTAAGAATTTTTTTCATCACTTAGTTCCAGTAATTGGACTTTTATTTGTCTTGTTGAACTTCTATGTGTAATGTTTATTCTGCCTGGTCTTCATTGAAATTCTTAAACATATGGGTTTATATATTTCAACAAATTTGGAAAACTGCTGCCCATAATTTCTTCATATAATTGTTTTATCTTTTCCTTCGTAGGGCACTAATCACCTATATGCTGAGTCTCTAGTACAATATTATGAACCAGAGAATCCAGTGCATTATTTTTTTTCATTAGTTTGGACAGTGTCTATTGATTTTTATGTTCATATAAAAACATCAGTATTATCTCCTTATCCTCTACTGTTTTACTGAAGACACCAGCAAGCGTTTTGTTTTATCTGTTTTACTTTTAATTTCTAAAAGTTTTATTTTATATTTTCACCTGTTTTAATTCTTAAACATATTTTTAGTCATTATTTGCCAATTCCATCAGCTCTGTTATTTCTAAATGAAAGTTATTGATTGATTTCCCCCTCCAAACTCTAGATCCTATTTTCCTGCTTCCTTGTGTGTACAGTAGTTTCTGACTAAATATCAGTCAGTATGAGTTTACATTGATAACTTTTTATTACATTCCAGAAGGAGACAGTGGGAAGTGAGTTTCTTGGAGAGTAGTTGATCCTTTTTAAGGTTGTGTTAAGACTTGTTATGACAATCTGAGCATATCCTTTGCCCTATGTCTATGCATTTTAGCCCTAAGGCTAATGCATAGATTTTCTGGATTCTCCATTAATTCCTAGGTATTCAATACAATCTCTTCACTCTGTTAAGTTTGGAATGTTCCCGAGCTATGTGTG